TCTCTTCAATTAGACATTCTCTGCCTCAGCCTTACTGTCTATGGCCTCGCTCAGAATCTCGCCGGAGGTGGTACAAAAAAAATACCTGAAAGCAGGAACAGGTACAACTTTTACACAGTGGAAAACTGAGTCGGTACTGTGTAGTGGAAAAGCGCTATTAGGCTCACCAAGGCTGCATTTATTTGATCAAAAAATACAGTAAAAACAATAATATGAAAGTACCAATGCAATTTTAAACAATAATTTTCTATTTGAATATTGTAATTTATTCCTGTGAGGACAAAGCTGAATTTTTCAACATCATTACTCCAGTCTTCAGTGTCACATGATCCTTCATGATGATGATATGGTGCTCAAGAGATTATTAATTATTGATTCGATATTATTTCCAGTATTGAAAACAGTTGTTCTGCTTAATATTTTCGTGGAAACTATGATACAGTTTTTTTTAGAATTCTTGATGAATAGAAAGTTAATAAGAACATCGTCTTTGAGACAAATCTTTTTTAGCAGTATAAATGTTTTACTCACTTTTGATCAATTTAATGCATCATTGCTTAATATTATTATTATTTTATCTTATTAACCCCAAACTTTTGAACAGTAGTGTGATGTGATTTACCATCATCGAGTCCATCTGAGATTACATGAAGGAACAGAAAATACTGGGACTGTAAAGAGAAAATACTTTTAAAAAAATTGTCATAAATACGTAGATTGTATTTATCAATTAACTTCCATTAACTAATTCAGTGGTCTTTAAACCTGTTCTGGAGGAACACCAGCACTGCACATTTTGTATGTCTCACTAATCTTTTACTCCTAAGTCAACTCACGAGCTCATTAATAGAGACTTCAAGACCTGAAATGGGTGTGTCATATATAGGGAGACAAACAAAATGTGCAAGCCTGGTGGGTAACTCCAGAACAGGTTTGAGAACCAATATTTGGTGTGATCATCACGTTTAAAACAGCTTTTGTCCAGGTACACTTGCTGGATTGCTGGATTATTACAATTAATGTCAAAATGAATGTTTGGAGATGTAAACTGATATTTCCTATTGACACACTACAGCAAAAGATATGAGTAACTGACTTAAAACGATTTTATTTGTAGCGAAAATACTAACGTGCCTAAGAGTTTTGCACAGTACTGTGTATAAGTGTATATTACTAGTATAATATTTGCAAGATGTTTTTGATGTTAGCTGTTGTTTAAGTGATGTTAACTTCTCTAAAAAGAAATATCTAAGCTATATGGCCTTTTTTGACAGTCAAAGGCTTTGAGAGAGAGATGGCTGTTGGAGGGAGCGCCATCCAGTGGAGAGGACGAGGCACAAAAACAACTACAAGAGGATGAAGCCAAGACCAAACTGCTGGAACAGACCATCCTCAGGTTAAGACCAGTCATTGAACATTTTTATACTTTCCATACAAAATTCTAGCATACGTTTCTGCATCTAGTTAATGTTTACCTATATATATATGTTTTGTTATTAATAGACTAGAACAGGAGATTGATGAGCTTGAGACTGGCGTGCCTTTGAAAAAGGGAGACCAAGGCAATGAAAATGTAAGGTTAAGTTTACTCAATATGCTTTGAACTAAATTTGCATATATGTTCAGTTTAGTTCAATGATAATATTGACTTTTTGTCATATGTCTTCTCTGCTAGCCACCTGATGGTCCAGTGAAGGGTGAGTGTCAAAATACTTTGTATATGTCAATATTTTTAGTTCTCCATCATTCTCTGTTTTCACGTGATATTACGCAAAATGGAATATGATTAAAAATGGTCATTCACATTTGGCATAAACAGTAGTGAAGCCAAATCAATCTCGTTCTCTTTCCCCAGCAGTTGAGAATGGCATACAGCAGCCCAGTCCTAATGCAGATCAAAATAGCAAGAAACAGATCACAGGCATTGAGGCAAAGCTGCAGTGCACCAACCCTGATGTAGCCATTGAGAATGCCAGCGCAGAGCATCCCGTCACCATGGTGTTCATGGGCTACAAGAATGTAGAGGATGAGGCCGAGACCAAGAAGGCACTGGGCATAGAGGAGACAGTCAAAGCTGAATTTGTGGTCATTGAGGACGGTGAGAACAAAGGTGGAAACGAAGGGGCCAAAGAGGACCAGGCCCCACCAAACGGCAGCGCCTCCAGTCCTGACAAAGCTCAGGACGAGGCCAAGAAGGCGGAATCGAAAGAAGAGGGCAATTCAAAAGAAAAGCAGCCGTGCAAGTGCTGCACAGTCATGTGAGTGCGAACGCTCACCCTGAAGTTTAGACATTGGCGGAAAACTGACCCCCTGACCATAACGCAACGATGAATAAGTATACCCCGTATACTTCTAATTAACTTTTGTTGTCTAGTATGTATTTCTTTTTTTATTTCTATTAATATTTTTCTATATTTCTGTCTTGACATTTATATATCTATATATACATATATTTTCATTATGTAATGAAGTCCAGTATTTTACTTGTTGAAGAACTGAAAAATGAGGACCACAACAGACTCCACTTTAGACAACAACATAGTTAAAAGAACATCTTTGTGGTCCTCACCCTTATTTTGTTTTAAGAAAAATAGGATGAAAGTCTCAAAATATGAGCTAGCTATTTATCTCCCGTATACATTTGTGTTTCTAAGATATTACTTTATTACTGAGAAGAAATTACTATATTGATATTATGTTATGCTTTTAATATATATTTTGAGCGTTTTTTTTATTATTGTTATTATTTTATTTTTGTTTTGCTAATTCATCTCAGACCACTGTGAACACTGGTACATAGAGTGTAGTCTTCGTCCACAGTCATACAATCTGCATTACACCTCACAGTAGACCAATATGTTTGTAAATATGATCCAATTATTTATGACTCTTCATGCTAGAATACATTTAATCATTTTGTTTAAAACAGGCTGCTGTAATTTCCCCCGGAGCCCAATTATAACCACAGCAGCTATCTGCTTTAACAGCAAATCACGTTTTATAGGCCAAATACTATTTACAAAAGGACTCATTTTAAACTCATTCTCTTTTCTACATGATTATAATCCATATTAATTTTTGAAAATGTAATAACAACATTGCAATGCCTCATATTACATATATGTAGTCCATATTGTTAAAAAGCATTTTACAGTGTGTAAAATATATCTTAATATCATTTGAAAAAATGCATTGTTTGAAGTTGAGGGTTTTTGGTGTTAAATGGGTTGCTGTAAGTTGCCCTCAATTAAACAAGAGTCCAACATGTTTCAATGTTCAGGCAGATTATTCCCAATAATGAGTTAATCATTGGTGATAATTCAAGTTCAAAAGCCTGTGGTCTAAAACATGTTTCTCATTCCAAGAACAACAGCTTTGTAAATGTAGTTTTGCCGTCTTTATAATATTTCAATTTAATGAATTATTAATTTCCTGTAAGACAGTATGTGTTGTGGATATCAGATAATGTCATGAGTTAAAGGTGCTTTATTGATATGGCCAATGCCTGTTATGGTCCAATTGTTTAAAACTGGAACAATGACAATAAAAAAAATAAAAATAAAAAAAGTGTTTTCAGTCATGTACTTGTAATTATTTGGTAATTTTCTTTGATATTTGGTATTTTTCTTTAACTACAATCAGTGAAGTCTGACACAGTTACAAATGTGAGTCATTTGGAAAACAAATTGTTTAGATTTGCCAAGGGACATGATTATGATAGTATCTATTCAATACAGAGAATTTCTGTGGAAAAAAATAACTCAATCCCCTGGTTTCACAGACAGGGTTTAAGCTAGTTGCAGACTAAAAAGCATGTTATCTATTAAAATATTGTCAGTGCCATTGTTTTGTCTCAAGATGCACACAAATAATGTTTTTTTTTTTTTTTTTTGTTTTTTTGTGAAGGTTGCCATCTGCAGGCTAAAATCCAGTTTGGTTACCAGTGAAGCACCAGTTTGTTGGTTAATTTGACGCTACTGACTACTAGCCTACTGTCACGTTAGTCAGAGCTGGCGTGTTGGGGGTGGGGGTGGAACATTGTCCTGGGACCTGGTGAGGGGGCCAACTGTGGTATTTTACGGTATAGCCTACTTATTGGGCCTGAAGAAGGGGAGGCACACCCATTAAACATTTTCCAAGGCAAATACATTTTAGTGACAGTGCAAAGTATTGTAGCACTACACAAAGATGGTAAGTGAATCCAATGATTCTGACCTAAGGGTAGTAATTATTTATGGTGAATTCGGTCAGGTAAATTAGGCCACCTTTTGCAATCTCAATGACAAAAAGTGGCTCACTTTAAGGGACAGTTCATTCAAAAACGAAAATATTGTCATGCCATTTACTCAAATGTGTCCTTCCAAAAGTGTCGTACACTTTCTGAATTTTCTTCAGCGTAACAGCACAGAAGAAAATATTTTGAAGAATGTTGGTAACCAAATGGTGACCCTTCCATTATAAAACAAAACTAAGACATTTCTAAAAAAAAAACCACAGAGAATATTTTTTGGGTGAACTATGCAATGCATCATAGCCTAGAGAACAATATTTGAAGGTGCTAGAAGTGGTCCAATTTTCTTTAATGTCTAAAGTTGTGTTTAGATTTTTCATTTAATAACGGCTAATATGTTTGATCATATAAAATCCCTGTTAATAAGACTGTGCCTGTACCACCATCTTTAGTTTCTTCTGACATTATTATAATCCTACTGTTCTTAGCCTATTTTAGCAATGCGTCTGGTAAAACTGTTTGCCCTTTGACTAAACACTAAACGGCTTCGCCCTTTTCGTTGCGGATAATGGTGGGTTCAAGCACAGTTCACTCTTCTACTTCATTAATGGTGTGACAACGGAAAAGTTTTTGCAAACTTTTTTCTACCGCCTTCCCAGATCGACGGCTCTTCTGTCCAATCCCGCTATCCAAGGACACGCGAGGCCCCGCCCACACTCGGCGATTCAGAGTCGATTGACTAATCAGAGAGCGACAATCCCTGCTCCGCCATTTTGTAAGGTTATAAGATATACTTGCTGGTCTACCTCCCGTCTACGACAACCTGTAGTTTTCTGTAGTGCCATGGACGGGTAAGTTGAAAACATGTTCATTCCAATTCGGTAACCCATTAAACACGTTTTTTCGTTGGATGTTTGATTCGTTGTGGTGACAATACATTATGCACATTTTAAATGTGTTAAATGACGTAAAGTGAAGTGGAAATGGTGATTTTTGACTCGTCTCTGCCGTCTCGTCCGTCGCGTCCGTGCCGGAAGAGCCCAAAAGTTGGACCAAACTGACCAACAACCTGTTGCAAGTAGTCTAGATGAGACCACTCTATGAAACGCTAGCGAACTTAAGCTACAGTTTTTCTTTAACCTAACTGGCAAGACGAAAATGTCAAATAAACCTTGTAACGCACAGAAGAGACAGAACAGCCATTATTTGGCAACCAACGTGTCTCAGTTTCCGCATTGTTGTTGGGTGGCTAACGTTAGCTAATTACCTGCTAGCCTGCTAAACGGTACCGATACCAGTTCAACTTTATTGTAGTTTCACTCGTTTGTATGTTTGATGCACGTTGATTTTTTTTTTCAGTCAGTACCAAGTAAGTTTGATACACGTACAATGGTTCGATTAACTTACAGTAACTGTTTTCGAATGACGCGTTGAATATATCTGCTGCGTTTACACTGCTACATATAAGCATCTTTTAGTCCAATTTGCCACTGATCCGAATTTGATATAAAACAAGAAAACACAAAAATCCCAAAGAGGTCATTTTTGCACCCGTTCAGAGTCACTTTCAAAATGTGTTTTTGACTCCCATGTCTGGACATTTGACCAATGTCTAAACTCAAATATTCGATTTCCATTGAAAAATTCCAAGCCACAACAGTAGTTTTAAAATGTTGTATTATGAGGCAGACTTTCTTGTATGAGCTCACAAATTCATAATAGTTTGTATTTGTAAAATATTATGCTTGTATATTATGCAAACATTCAGGAGCACAGAAACGTGTTTTCAACCTCTGCCCTTTGAATTATTTTAATAAAATCTTAGCTTCGCTACTGAAAGCTGTGTTATATGTCTCATTAACAAGGTGTTAACTTGGCTGTTTTTCTTTATTAATCTCACCAATAAAACAAGAAAGTTCAATGCATTACAAAAAAATACAATAATACCAGTTTATTCACAACTTAGACTGATATTTTTGTAGTACTGGCCCTTATATTTGAGAAGCCCACAATAATCTCAGTACAATTCTTTTTTTTCTTTCTTTTTAAAAAAAAAAAAATCTCAGTACAATTCAATTTTTTAAAAAACATTGTAACAATGGTTTAAAAACTGGACAAGTTTTCATAAGACTTCATAACACAGCGTGTAGAGTATTAACTCATGCACTCAAACACTTTGCTTGCCTCGCACAATTCTCATTGCATCATTATAAACTACTTGAAGCCTCTGCAGACTTGCTTTCTATAATTTGACCACGAATGAGCAGTATAAATTGGTGTACAATATGCTTTAAACAATGACATCTTCTCTTCATCTGATCAAGAACTAAACTAGAAGTTTGTTAGTCTGCATAGTGCATACATCTCATGATGCTGCCTTTCAGTCCCATTGACTTGTCTGTCATGGGCTCAGAAATAAAATGTCAAAGATATTTTGCCTTCACTCACACCACAAGATCTCTCTCTTACTGTCTCTTTCTTTAATTTATTTGAATTAGATTTAAACGATCCATAGATAAAATAACAAATGAAAACTACCGTTTTTTTGTTTGTTTTTCGTTTTATATATCAAATTGCGCCGAAAAAAAATCCATAACCTCTTAACTTATCTGAGCTGGCAAATGGTCTGATCAATCACGGTACCACCCAACCTGAGTTATAAATTGATTATCTTACCACAGCCATTCAAAATCTGAGGATCAACCCTGTTGCATAGTAAATATTGAAGTGTAAATTGAAGTTCAAACAGATATTGGATACCAGTCGTGTCTAAAGTGATTATAAATGGGTGGGACAGTTTAACAACAGCTTCATTGTTCAGAACAAAACTTTACATGCTCCAACCCTGACGATCATTGTATTTGTAAAGTATAATCAAAAAATATATTTAGGCCTGTTTTATCTGAATCATTTGCATGAGAATGCTAGTGAAAGAATTTTAAATGAAGACTATCATTCAGTAGAATAGATTTAGGCAGAATGACAGCCTACAATGTATGTGATTGCTGACTGAGACCTTTTTTTCAGTCCAATCTCTTTGTGAGAAGCAACTTGCAGGTTGACTGATAGTGAATGAATGACAAAATATTGACACAAAATCCTGTTTTTTGTCTTCTGCAGCCGGTTAGAGACTGATCTGTATCCTCTGGGATCCAGTTACGTCACTGAAATAGAGTAAGTTTTGCATCTCTGCATTCAAGTACAAACAGGACTGGTTTTACAGCATTATCGACTGAGTTTACCTAAACTAAAGAATTCAAGAAATGTTCTCAAGAGAAGTGTGGAACTGATTGATACCGTTGAGTGGCGTGAAGAGTGGCTTAACAGGCATGCTTTGTTTTACTGTTTGCTTTTATATCAGGTTGCATCCTAGGAGGTGTGCCTGAATTGCAACTCTTGTTTTGTACAACGGCAGTATGTAGTTCCTGCTGGGCCTGTTTGCATGACTTTTGTGTACCAATCAGTAATTACATTTTCTGTACACCTATTGTACTAAAGCCCTGTTCACACATAATGACAGTTTTTAAAATGATGCCAAGTCACTGTGTCTGGCAACAGGCCCATGTCTGCACTCACATTGGTAGTTTCTGCATTGTTACTGTTTATTTGCATGAACTTGAGCTCTAAACAGACAGACGTATTAAGTGAGTTGCAGAATTTGTTAGCAACGCATGGTGACTTGGTGAAATGCACTAATGCAATGAAGAAAATTTTTAAATAAATTCATCCCATCTATTTTCTAATTTCAGCGTATAGATCTTTAATCCATACATTTTTTTTTTAAATGATTTTTTTTTACTAAGTAAGTCATAACTTAATCTTCCGGTGAAATGAGACTTCTTTCTTATATTTGCTGGACTTCTCCAAAAAATGACTAAGCTCACATTCAGTTTTGCCTCCATCCAATCAACAATCGATGGGTAGAACCAACTCTCTGCTCTGCATTTTTTCTTTAATAGTCTGTTTCACTTTATGTTTCACAATATGGAAGAAGAAATGTGTTCCTGCTTCCGTTACGTAGCAAACATACTTTAAGTATTGCATAGCCCTGCCCTTATCTGTTGCTGAATTTATCAAATGTGATTGAGCCTCTGATTTCTAATGTGTTAAATGCTTTTTTTTTATAGCAGTGTCCATGATATAACAGTCGGCACAAAGGTATGTCTTTTTTTTAATTATTATTTTAGATAAGTGACCATCTCTGACTTTCAAATGTGTAAATTTTGTTGCTGTGGGTGTTCAGTAATTATTAGTTTGGTTTGTATGTCTGTTTTTTTACGTTGTGCGTTCCTCCTTTTTGTTTTCTACATTGCTGAGAGACTAAGGGAACTTCTCTAAATTGCTGAGTCTGAAATTCTTCGTCTGATCCTTCAACTGTAATTATTCTGGTCAAAGGGCACCTGCTGTTTAAACATTCACTGTAATGACTGATCCGAATGTGAAAGAAGTAGCTTACACAAATCTTGATGTTCTGTAGGCGATTCAGAAAAGTCGACCTGGATGATTTAGTTTCTACTTTTTTATATTTTACTACTTTAGATTCTGTGAAATAGTTTCATCATACAGTTATTTGTTTACAGTATTGCTGTCTTCACACTCATTTGGATGTGTTTGTACATGGAGACTGCCTGCTGTTGTTTCCCCTGATGTCTTTCACAAATGTGAGGAGTAAAGATGTAGATGAAGTCGGAGTCTGGGCACTAATTACACTGGCTGGAATGCTGTGCTTGCATTCCTGTCTCCCTGACCTCCTTATTCAACACAGACTGTGCTCTCACCCTGAAGGCTTGCACTTTGTCAATGGATGTAAACATGTTGGCACCTGCAAGTCTTAAGCTCCTAGAGACCAGTGTGGGAGTCATGGTTCTCGACTCCTTTTTCCTTTAAGCGAGCACTCGAGCTGCAATACCCTGCAGTTAAAAATAGAGGAAGGAAATGCTGTAGTTGGGTGGATGTCTCGCCCGAAAACAATGGATGGTTCAACCAGAGAAGGCTTTCCTGTCATAACTGTTTTATAAAAGTCATGTTGAAACCTGACTCCTGCAGGATTTAGCTGGGACTGGGAGGAATGTGTTGTTAGGTTTTTTTTTTTGCTGTGCCACGTAAACGGTATTAAGTTATTTTTCCCTTTCTCTGCAATGTTAAAGACCGTTTACTGTAGGCAGTTTGAGGCTTTGGGCTGTATTTAAGGTAAACATTTATCCAGGGTGTAGTAAAGTGCTCTTGAGGCTGTTTGTAGTAGTAGACCATAAGGGAAAAATCTGCTCGTGGACCAGGCGTTCAGCTTTGTTAACAATACTTTCTTTTGGGCTGGAACAGAACACGCATTGTGGTAATGGAGTGTAAAGGCTTTGGCTTATCCAGCGCATGTGACCACTTCAGCAGAGACTTGCCATTTGAAGTGGTTTATTAAGAGAGTGATGCTGAATGATTTGCTCATTGCTCCATTGGCCAGCCAAGTGGCTCCAGCTTGGCCTTGAGTGAGAGACTTTGTGTTAGTGTTATGGCTGGACACAGCTGCCTCTGTTTACATTTCTCTCTTTCTTTGTTCTGCTTTTACCAGCAGTAAACAGTGTAGTGATCTCTTGTGCTTGGATGCCTATGGTGTAGTAATTGTAACCATTAGGCAATGAGGGGGTTTTTTTTTTCGTCATTTTGGAAATGTTCCAATTGGATCATATATTAATGAATCAGACTGGTTTGGTGCATGCTTATGTCACATGAGTTTCTATAGGTTAATACTATGTCAGATGACAATTTGTGACCTTTTTTTTTGTTAATGCACTGTAGCTGATTCACGTCTTGTCGCAGTGTTTAGTGAGTCTTCTGTTTTGAGTGTCCTATTTTGCTAACCTTATAATTGTGTCCTGTTTCATGAATCACTTTCCTTCTCTTTTCAGAGGGGATCTGACGAACTCTTTTCCTCCTGCATACCTAACGGACCTTATATAATGAGCTCTGGAGCAGGTAGGCATTTATGGCTGAGGGTTTATACACTGTTCAAAAGCTTTGGGTCAGTATGATTTCTTTTCTTTTTTTTTTCTTTTTTTGGAAAAGGGAAAGGTGCCGTTAACTAGAGCAGTGCAGCACCCATAGTAGGCTACAGTTTAAGGCCAATTTATACTTCTGCGTAGGGTGCGCGCAGTAGGTACGGCGTAGCATACGCACAGACGCGTCCCATACCGCGTACCCTTCCGCGTTGCCTGACGCGCACCTCTTCAAAAATGTAACTACACGTCGCGACGACGCGGACCGCAAGATCGGTGATTGGTCGGCTTGGTAGCATCGTATTTCCTCATACGCATTTCCGCACGTACCTTCTCCTCCGACGTCTTCTCTCATTTCTGCCTTTCAGTTTTAGTAATTTCACTAAAATGAACTGTTTTTCCACCCCAATAAGCTCCAACTCCAACATGATCCACTCTCTTTCAGTCGCTATTGCTTGTAGTAATCTAGCCGCGAGGAATCTAAACACAGTGGAACATTAAAACCCTCCGCCGCCTCCTAGCGTTTCGGAGCAGTACTGCAGAGCAACCAATACCTGAACGCAGAAGTATAAATGCTCACAACGGCGTCGCCTACGTGCGTAGCCAACGCCGTACACTACGGCGTACCCTCGACGCAGAAGTATAAATCAGCCTTTAGAGTGCACGTACGCAATGGGGAAAGCATTAAATAATGTATAGTTATCTACATCTTTCCATCTCTTAAGTATAGTTAGTTTTTAAATACGAAAATTGCATTCAACATGACACAAGCGGTTGCCGTGGTAATGAACAACCTGCTTGTTAAAGCGAATGTATAAGGCAAACTAACTAAATATACAGTGTTAGTTATGTACTTTTATCTTCCTTTGATTCGAAACGTGATTATAACTTGACAGTCAAATTAACCGCTTGTATTTTAGTGATGCAAAAGACACGCGCGTGCACATGCACTGAAAGGGAGCGTGGTGTGTCAGTGTTCACTGAGCTATCGTCAAATAATGACGCTGTTAAGTCTATAATTTAAACTACTTTGTCATCTCTAACAGTAGCTGCTGTTTGGTTTTCTTACTGCTGCTTTCCTTCGAGTCCCTTCTGAACTTGACACTTCTGAAACTCTTGATTAAAGCTCAGGGTCACTGGTTGCCAGATATCACGAAAAGAGCAAAACCAGCCTATTAAAAAAGCAGTATAATAAGCAGACAGGGTATAACTAGTTTTACCAATATCCTACAAAATTAAAGGAAGTAACTGATTTATTATGAATAGAATAATTCAATATAAAATATTCAGATATTATAAACTGAAGTAAACCAATGCATGAGATTAAAGTGTTGCTGGATAATTTTTCAAAGTTTAATTGCACCTATGAGTTGTATTTATTATCAATCACTTGGGTAAAGTTCATCTAATAGTTGAGAGTGAGAGTGTTTTGTTTACTATATTTGGCTATCAAAATAGTTTACCAAAGAAATAATTGACCAAATAAAAGAAAAAGAAAAATTAACCAAGGTGAAGTATTTGGGTTTATTCATTATACAAAGCCCTTTTTGTTAATTTTGAGAATAGCTAGGCTTACATATATAAATAACTATATTGTGAAATATACCCTTACCATAAAATAACATTTCATGCCGTAAAACACAATTTTGGTCATACCGCCCACCCCTACCGGCAGTATATTTGAAAGATTATATCCAACTTTACATGCAAACATATAATTAATGCAAGGTAATGTATGGTATGTAGTAAATCTTGGCTGTTTATAATGGAAAAATGTAAAGTATTATTGCCCAGACCTAATCTGCTCTAATGCAGGCATAAAAAATATGAATGAATTATAAACCTTGACTTTTTTTGTAAAGCTGCTTTTGTGTAATGTGAAAGGTGTGTTTTTTTTTTTTGTTTGTTTTTTTTTTTCTTTTTTTCTTTCGCACAAATGCAGTCTTGATGAACATAAGAGACTTCTTTCAAAAACATTAAAACAAATCTTATTGACCTCAAACCTTTGAAAGTTAATGTACATTTTTATGTATTTGGATTCTTAATTATGAAAGTAAATTGAGATTCTTTTTGTCAGCAAATGGTAATGACAGCAAGAAGTTCAAAGGGGAGATCAGGAGCCCTGGCATTCCTTCAAGAGTGATACATGTACGCAAACTGCCAAATGACATAAACGAAGCAGAAGTCATTTCTTTGGGGCTTCCCTTTGGAAAAGTCACTAACCTTCTGATGCTGAAAGGAAAGAACCAGGTAAAGATCACTGCTGCCTTTTCCCTCAAAATATGATCATACCACGCTTTGAATGTACATCGTCGGGCTTTTCCTTATTGCGTTCTCTCCTCACAGGCCTTCCTGGAGATGAACACAGAGGAGTCAGCACAGACCATGGTCAGCTACTACTCCTCTGTCACCCCTGTCATCCGTAACCATCCGATCTACATGCAGTATTCCAATCACAAGGAACTGAAGACTGACAACTCACCCAACCAAGTCGTTAGTACAAATTACATCACATTAGACATTTAATCAAGGTTAATTACTCAATATAAACTCTTTCAAGAATGATAATGCATACTTGTGCCCTGCCCCCTCCATTCCCATAGAGAGCACAGGCAGCACTGCAGGCTGTGAATGCGGTCCAGACAGGAAGCCTGTCTTTGAGCGCTGTTGATGGAGCAGGTATGGGCAGCCAGAGCCCTGTGCTGAGAGTTATCGTTGAAAACCTCTTCTACCCAGTTACTCTTGATGTCCTTCACCAGGTAATGACTGTCCTTCAAATAAAATTGAAACATTTATTTATAGTCCTCAAGTAATTTTATTATTAAATAAAATTGTTGTTGTTATTATTATTATTTAATATTATTCCATTACTTATTGCCCCACCCTCCTAGATCTTCTCAAAGTTTGGGACAGTTTTGAAGATCATAACATTTACCAAAAACAACCAGTTCCAAGCACTGGTTCAGTACTCAGATGGAATGACTGCACAGCATGCAAAGCTGGTGAGTGGCATAGTGGATCAATATATTTTTTGGATGAATGGGCAGCTAAATCCCTTCTGAACCTTGTAATCATTTGGATTAACATTTTAACAGTCTTTGGATGGACAGAACATCTACAATGCCTGCTGTACCCTTCGCATCAGTTTTTCTAAACTCACCAGCTTGAATGTTAAGTACAACAACGATAAGAGCAGAGACTACACTCGTCCTGACCTACCTACAGGAGACAGTCAGCCCTCCCTCGATGCACAGACGATGGCTGCAGCTGCCTTGTGTAAAACTTAATCTGTTTTTTTTTTACTGCTGTTAATAAATGGCATTCTCAACATGCATATCACAACTGCTTTTTTTTTTTCAGCTGCTCCTGGTATCATCTCTGCATCGCCATATGGGGCTCATGGTTTCCCACCAACGTTTACCATTCAGCAGGCAGCAGGTCATTCATAGCCCTCATAATAACTCTGTGGATTGCTTTAGCACAGTTTCTCAGCATAGCATCCATGCTGTGTAGTGATGGCTGTCTCTCCCACAGGTCTGTCACTGCAGGGCATGCCTTCCGGGGCTCTCGCATCGCTTGGTATCCACGGTGCTGCGGCGGCCGCTGCTGCTGCTGCTGGACGCCTGAGTTTTTCCAGTCTCACTGCAGGAGGAAACAGTGTCCTGCTAGTCAGCAACCTTAACCCTGAGGTTAGTGCTGTTTTGAATAGTTTAGATTTTTTGTTTCAACAACCCATAATCCATTTTGGTTGGCAGAACTGTAAAAACAGACAAATGTTAGATGGCATATGGTGATGAATGAACCAAATACTTCATATGCGTAGCTCTTCAAACCATGTAATTTGTGTTCATAACTGTGGAGGCTCATTTGACTACTGTACAAACATGCATGTCAACCATTTCTTAATATTTGTTGACCCTTGTCTGAAGCCATCTGAAACATTTCGTTTCTAGTATGTATTTCTTTAGAGCTATGAATATATTGTCTCTATCTTTCCTGTATTTCATTGTTAATCTTCTCTCCTTTCTTTATTTATTGCCTTAGTATTCCTATAGTGAAAAGCATTTTAATTTAGCAAGTTCTGCTGACTGGAACACTACATTTTTTCTTTGTGTATACTGACCTTGTTTTTTACTTCCTTTTTCTTGTTTCTCTCCCTCCCCATTCCCCTTCCCCCTTTTATTATTTTAATACTTTGACCTGGAATCTTTTGCCAACTGACTGCACCACTTGTTTTTTGTAATAATTTAAACTCCCTACCCACCCAAACAATATGATTCCCTATGCACATCAATACTGGATACATAAACAATTTGTTTTTCTACTGTGCAACCTACCAACACACAACAACATCCCTACACTACATTGCCGGATATCCTCCTTTACTTCTACCCTTCCCCCACCTTTCCATCATGAACGATATCACCCACCTTCATGATCCTACCACCGTTTTTCGCCATTCCTGTGGAACTGCCTCGCTGTGGACATGTTCAACCTCCACTGTCCTGCCTCCGATCTTTTCCTGTCCCTTCCTCCCTACGCTGCCTTCCTCTGCTGTCTTAAGAGCGTTACGCCCCAATGCCTCTTTATTCTTTTCGGTATGTTATCATTGGCATCTCCTTTTTATTACCTTTTTGTTTTTCATATTTTAACTTCATCTAAGATGTGTGCTTTGGTTTGTATATGTGACGTGGAATTTTAAAGAATTTTTGGGCTCCTTCATTTGGCGGATGCTAAATATATACTGCAAATGGCTAAATTGTTAAATATTGTGGCCATAACTGTTGTGTTCTCAATAAGCCCTATTTAATACTGCATTTAATAATCTTTAGAAAGTTGTATGTTTCATTCCCTGTTTTTAATCAAAGGTTAATGTGCAAATTTCCCGCAGCCCTAAACGTAATGTTAAACCAATCAAGATTACATTGAGTAAATCTTTCCAAAAGCGACATACTCTGTTTGTTGTGAAGTAATTATACGTTCATAAATGTAGAAAGCCGGGTCCAGTAGTAATGGGTCACAAGAGAAATTTAGTCTGTTTGCACTAATAATGCATGCCTTACTTGGCTATACAATTACTTCATTACATAAATATTTCATTGAAACAACATTGAGTGTTTGGTTGAGAAAATGGTAATCAATTGTCCTGTCATACAGTAGTCACGTCCTTATGTAGCTACTGCTATCTTTTGTTAGGCGTGTATGGTGATGTCATGAGAGTGAAGATCCTGTTCAACAAGAAGGAAAATGCATTGGTGCAGATGTCTGATGGAACCCAAGCCCAGCTAGGTATTTATAAAGGTCTTTAAATTTTTAACAACTTTCTTAAGAAGCAACACCAACCTCTCTTGCCCTTTTTAGCCATGAGTCACTTGAATGGGCAGAAACTGTATGGTAAGGCTTTGCGGGCCACTCTTTCCAAACACACCACGGTACAGTTGCCACGTGAAGGCCATGAGGATCAGGGGCTCACCAAGGATTACAGCAACTCTCCTCTTCACCGCTTTAAAAAGCCAGGCTCCAAGAACTACTCCAACATCTTCCCTCCTTCCTCTACTCTCCATCTCTCCAACATCCCGTGAGTCCACCAAACTAATACCTGTTAGTAACAGCTGTTATTCTTCTTTAGCACTGCTTTATTCAATTTCAAGTTCTCTTCTTAGTCCTGCTGTCACTGAGGATGATCTCAGAGGATTGTTTCTAAGTTCAGGAGCTGTGGTTAAGGCTTTCAAGTTTTTCCAGTAAGACATTTTTACATATTTGATTTCTACAGATTGTCATGATATTTCCTGGAAGTTTTAAAATATTGTATTAATCCTTTCAGGAAAGATCGTAAAATGGCTCTCATTCAATTGGGCTCTGTGGAGGAAGCAATTGAGTCTCTGATCAAATTTCACAATCACGACCTGGGAGAGAACCATCACCTCAGAGTGTCCTTTTCCAAGTCCACCATCTGATGGAGGCTGTTTTGTTTTAAAGAGGTTGAAAGGACTGTCACTTTAGACCAAACTGTAAGCCTTCCACAATTTATATCACTGTGGACAAATGTGTTCCACAACACACACTTGATCATTCCTTTAATTATATCTATATTCACATGTATGTCTATTTTGTAATTCCACTTTAAACAAGTAGACAAGAGGAACTCTTCAACCCAATGTGACTTGGGTTTTAATAGTACGTTTTCTCAGACGGTTTGTTTCATGACTTTGTTCATTGTTGGCACACATCGGTTTTGGATCATAGATGCTGCGTAGTTTACACTTGTGCCTCTGCGGAAAGCCGCACCCCTTCAGGTTGCACATGCAAAAGCCTTGTTTCGTTTGTCGAACCTGTAATTAACCTTTTCGAACTTATTCCCTTTACAAAAAAAGGAAGTGTGCCTTACATGGTGCTTAAAGTTAATCTTCATGGCCTTAGTGATATTTTGATGTTTTTTGGCCTCTTTACAAGAACCATTAACCTCAAACCTAAAAAAAACCTACCTGCTGTTCCTAGGTGGTCCCCATTTAAATTTGACTTGTGAAAACAAGAACGTTTTCCTGCGAAATTTTTTCTGGTAAATTACTTTAGTTTATTAACAGGCTTTGGTTTTGTACCTGACTGTCACAGCTTATTTTGCATATAGTTATTCTAAATGTGGACCTTTTCCTTATGTACCGTATGTAAGATATTCTATAATCTATAGTTTCATTCCTTTTTTTTATTGTAGTCACACGCATACTTCTATACTGTCGTCTATTTGGGCTTTAACCCACTGTGTACTCTGCCTAGACTGTTATATTGTCAGTTTACTTGGGGGAAACGTTTTATAATTTCCCCATTTTACCCCATTGCCTTGCTGCTTATGGGTTTTGTCAGTTATGAAACCGCTTGGAACCAAACCAGAGTTCACTGATTTTTACATAATTTGATTACTCTGTGTGCGGTAAAATAAGTCAGATTAGTTTTTCTGTTATCTAGTTCACGTGTTTTAATGAACATGTAAATTTCGACCTTCAAAAACACTTCTTTTTTTGAGGAGGTCTCTTATTGTCACTTGCCATTTATGTTCAAGAAAATGTAACATTACAGAGTCTTAAGTTCCTATGTGACATTTGTGTGAACCGAGACACCTGTGACAAGACTTGGGTTTGTTTTTGGCACTTCTGTGTTTGTGGGGGGGTGGCATTAAGGCCACGGTCTTTTCGAAACATCCATGTCATGTTTGTGGCAGAAGTCCTAACGCTCAGACATTCCCTTTTACCTTTGAGCTTGTACTTGTAACCTTTATATTTTAGTGGGGTTTTTCGCCTTTGCAATTAATATTTGCTTGGGTTTTTTTTTTTTTTTTTTTTCTTCCTGAAGAGTAGCATGATGGACCAAAGCATTTTCCATGCACTGCGAGACAGTTTTTGATATTTCCTGTATCTTACTGTGCAGCAATATTCTGTTTCATTGACTGCTTTGATTTCAGTGAGCAGAGGCAAAAAGTTTAGAGGCCTTATCTTTATATTATTGCCTTTGTTTACAAGACCTTAAAAGAAAACAATACACAAGACATTGTGGGCTTTTTTGGCCTAAAGCATGGATCAAAACATTATTTCTGTTGTCGGAACAGAACCAAACAAAAGTCTTAAAGTAGCGATAGAGCTCCTTTCTATTGCGTTTATAATAGATACTACTTTCTATTGCGTATATAGTTATACTTGTTTTTCCCACTACGGATGTAATGTTGAGAAACCGAATGGGTGAGGGCTACTGTGTATATATATATTTTTTTGTTTTGTACCAGTATATGAAAATCAGCATCATTTCTGTGTCAAACATGTATATTTTGATAAGGTAATAGCAGACATTCAGCTCATTGTAGAGCCTTCCTTTTTTATTACACAATATTAAAGAGATTTCAACACGTGTCTGAACATGTAATTGCCCCCTTGAAAGCATAACCTTCTTTTGATATAGATGCTCATACTTTTCTGTCTTCAATAAATCTTTCTTTCTTGCTTTCATCTTTGTCTTTTTTAATTTCTGAAATTATTAAACATCTTGATCTTTTCACGTTCTACATCTGTTTGCTCTGTCAGTCATGTGGTTAACAATCTCTCTTTTCTACCTTCCTGCATTTGGGAGACCTCTAATGACTCACTGGTTTCACTAACTTGTTTCCTGCCATCTGTTTGCTGTTAGAGGATATAGAATGAGAAATCACTTGAGTGTATGAATTCACTTTAATTTTGATTGGAAGCTATTTAATTTTTGGAGTTGCTTCAAGTGGCTCAATTAAAATATTTTTTATATGATTGTGATGTTCAAAATGAGTTTGTGTATAGAATAGCTGGAGATACAATCTGCCGTCTAGACTGAAATATGGCAATTCCCCCAGTATAGACCTTTTTCAGAGTAGCGCCATGACCGTTATTAAAGAAAGGCTGTGAGGGATGGATTTACTGTGCTTCAATGTCATCCATTTCTTGAAAAGAGATTTTTGCAGCGGTTCATGAGCAGAATAATCCAAAAACACATTAAATAACAGTGCAACCCACTGAAAGCTGGTTCTGCTGTGAATAAGGTCTATTACTGCTTTGCTAATTCAGTGGCTTTTCTCTGCCATTATCACTTGTAAATTTTTTTGGTATGTTTTTACAATATTTACTGATTTTGCACATTTGGATGCATTAAGTAAGAGCCATATGGCAATGTACTTTTAAAGTTAAGTTTATAAAGAGCCCAATAAAGGTCTATATTTATACATGTATTAGCCTACAGTATGTAAAAAGTCTCTTTGACTTAATGTTATATTCTGCTTCTCATACAGCAGGTGGCACACTAGTGTAAGATTTAAAAGTGGGTCATTCCTGCATTTTGGTGCCATATATACATTGATACTTGTGGATAATACATGTTTTTTTTTTTTGTAAAGAAACATGGGATGTTTTAAGTTGTATTGGCTCAGAACAATAATTTATTAAAGGTGCAATATGTAAAAATGGAGTATCTATTAACAGAAATGCAATATGACATCCACAACTATCTTTTCAGTGGTGTATAAAGAACTTGCTTAATAGACCGTAATGATTTTATTACTTTAGAATGAGACATTTATATCAGAATGTCTAATATAGGGAGAAACTTCAGGGGTTCTGGACTGGTTGCTGTTACATATGAGGGCGCTCGAAAGATAAATGGAGGTCTATGGAGCTATACCCCTAAAAAGCTTTTCTCAGGATATAATTTTTGTCTAGTAATTTGAATGTGTTATTTGAAAGGAAATGCAAAGAAATTACACAATATTGGGTGTTAGATTGGGTGTTAGTCACTTATTTGCTTTAAAAATTGTTTTAAAATGTCAATGACATCATACACATCGTACGACCAGAGACCTGCTTTATGGCAATCCTTCAGTCACTTACGCATAGACAGACGAAAAAAGCAGCTAAATAAAAAAATACTACCGTTATTGTGTCATGAAATGTAGTTTTAATAGTTTTTCAGTCAACAATGTAGTTGTTTAAAGTCTGTATCTGTGGTTTATTTATAAAGATAGTGCCTATTTAAAAATTTGATCTGACGTGTTCGGAGTTGTGAGATCCAGTCTTTCACCGGGCCCTCAGCGCACATGTACCCCGCCTGGAACAGCCTTACCTCGGCTAGTGCTTCTGACGTCTGGCGCTGATGTCTCTAGTGGTTAAATATGAGATATAATTCGTCTTGTGCTAAAGGATCCATAAGTAATCTTTGTTACTGCTAAAATCGTGTCAATCAAAGAAAATGCTTTTTTTCCACAATAAGAAAACTATTGCAGGAACGTGCATGTATCCATTATGTCTGTTTTTGCGCTCTGCAAAAACACAGTTGACACGGGTAAGTAAATGTGAGATTTTAGTCCGCTTTAACATTGGTCCCTTTTCAGATGCCACAATGCCATCAAGCAGGATCTCTGGTCGCAAGTCCTTCACTGACCAATCAGCGTCCATTAGCAGAATGCTAGTGTGTTATGGGCAACAACAACTCAACCTGTCAGAAATCGAAAGGACGTGAGTACACGTTTATTCAACTTCAGGCCTATAACCCATGTTGAACTTGCAATGGCAATCGGGTGAAAGAGACAAATTTAGCCTAGCCCTATGATAGACTCCCATTAAAGGATCAGAATGCGTTGTTCATTTTGTACTCGGAAGATCGCCCCCAGTGGAACAACCAAAATTCAGTAGGACTTAATAAGGAGTGGCCTTGTTTATATCTACGTACATAACCGCAGACACCCCCTTCTTTGAAGGTCAACATATTGTAACGTAATTTTCCTACCATAGCCGACAGTGCTACAGAGCGTATTTCGTCACTACCTTGAAAGCGAAGCAGCAGAACGCTAGAAGCTAGCCATAAACACCGTGAGTAGTGACTTTTCCCTCGTCAGTGGTGTAAAATATGTAGTTGGATTGTTTCATGTAACTTACTTCTTCTCCCTCTCTGTGTTATGGCTTTGCTATGTGGGGATAAATGTTCTGGCTACGGTCGTGAGACCGCTGATTAGCCTGCTCACCGACCGTAAAACAGTATGTTGAATCACCAAACCGATCGTGGTCGACAAGTGGATCTTGGAAGCATTTTAAGCTGATTGCGAAGATTTCAAAATCAGAGAAAAAAAAGCCTGTAGTAAATGGTGTCTAGGGGATGCAGAGGCGCGCGCGCTGTTATAGTGCGTTATTCGCGTCAGGCGCGAGTGATTTCAATGTTAAGTCAATGCAAAGACGTGGTTCTTCTCCCTCGTTGTATTATGGGTTTGCTATGTGGGGAGAAATGTGCTGGTTATGTTTGTGAGACAATCAGCAGATTACTATTATTAAGTCCCTTCCTTGATCCTCACTTGACTATGGCTTTGTAAACTTTATCCTTGATGTGGTTTATAATGGACTATGGTACAGAGACAGTGACAATGCTGCACACTCTTACTCTGGATTCTCGACTGTCTCAGACTTGTCATCACGGCAACACTAGAGCAGTGGGCTGAGCCCTTAGTGCAACTCGCAGTCGAACGGCTAGTTTAACCCAGCTATTTAATACATTACATTTAGGAGGGTTGTGGCAGTTTAAAAAAAAGGTTTGGCCAACATGTAATTGAGGTCACATGATTAGACGAGGGTTGTGTATTGATAAAATAGTCTCACTTTAGCATCTTTTTTTCGTAGAGCCTTTTAATTTCTTTCTCTACAAATCTCTCTCCCATCTCCTTCTTGTTTTCTAAAAGTATTGCCTCCTCTCCTCGGTGTCAGAATCCTTGGTATGCATCTGCTGCGCATCCCTGCAATCAAGAAGATATACATAAAATATGCTAATGTATTTCATATCTGAATAAATAAATTCAGATGTCCATCCCGTTGGCATCATTGAGGCATCAGGATTATAAAAAGTCTGGGCATTGAGTGGGTAAAATTAGCCACTTCATGGCTTGCAAACAAAATAACTACATTTGGTTATACCATTTACAAACTACTTAAAAACTAACCTTTACTGGGAACTAAAAAGGCACAAAATCATAGGAGTTTTGATGTGTTTATAGAATTGAAAGGGAATAAGCAAACCATTTTTCATGGCGCAGCGTTTGTGTGCGCTTGTGTGTGCAAAATCCAGAATGGCATGAATGTGCAGCATTTTGTACAAAGACACAAAGTTGTTAATACAAAACCTCAATTTTCTATTAATGTAGCTCAGAATTTACGTGTGCAACAAGATGTGCAATTGTGGTTGAGGTGACACACACAGACACACACACATCAGTTGTATTGAAAAGTCAGTAGCCTATTGAATAAAAAGCTTTTTTTTATTTTTTTATTATTTAGTTATTTACTTATGTTACATATCACCCCGGTGGATCTCATAATGTTACAACTAACCCCATGGGGTGATTTGTAACATTTCACTCCTTGTGTTTGAAACTAAACCATGCTTTTTCTGTTTGTGTTGCAAAGATAATAGTTAGGTCATTTGATAGCAGACACTTGTAACTAGTGTGAATCACATTTTGAACACACTGGCTTAAAAGTAGCTACTCCGAGATTTAGACAGAAAGGTCTTCCCTAGTCGTGTGTGTGTGTGTGTGGGTTAAGAAAGTCTCAAAATCCAAATGAATCAAATGAGATTGACTCAGAAAAGACATCAATGAATGCACGCGCGTCACCCGATCCACACATGCACATCTTCTTTGTTGCATGGCTTTATGCCCAGCTGCACTACTTCCTGAACTTCAGCCATGCAGCTCCTTGTTTCCTGTCTGCAGTTATTGGCCAAATTGATTAATCCAGGTGTGCCTGGCCTCAGTTGTCATGGCAACAATAATCAGACACACCTGAATTAATCAATTTGGCCAATAATGGCAGACAGGAAACAAGAAGCTGGCTGAAGTTCAGGAAGTAGTGCAGCTGGGCATAAAGCCCACACTAATACAAAAGAAAATATTTGTTTTCACAAAAAAATGTCTCTTTTTGTATTGCAACTCATTCAATTTTTAATTTAGTAAAATATTTCTGCAACATTAATCAAGTTCATTGATATTTGTGCTTGCACGTGTTAATTATTTTGATATTATATGAATCCCATATAGCCTATGAGCAATCTTGAGATGACTGTAAACGGCAGAGGTGAGTTTGAAGAGAGCTCGTCCAGGCCCCGCCCCCTCCTGAAGGTAACCGCTGATGAGAACTGTCGTAAACGAATCAGATTCAGGATGATGAACTGAATTATGAAGTGCTCGAGTCAGATGCGTTAGAAAGCTTGCGCGATTTAGTTGATCTAAGCTAAATGTAGGCCTATTCCAGATCCGAAAAGCTAATCCAAAGTGTGAGCACAGGCGGAGATGTTTAAACCAGAATGTGGCAAAATCGCCTTTGTTCCCCCAGGACAGAAAGGACTGGTGCAAACGGCTTGAAATGTGCATAGGATCTCTGCTTTTCAACTGGAGTGAGCAAGAAACAACACGATTCCGCCAACAACTAACAGATAACTTGTGCGAATA